CCCATAAGTTAATGGGTTCAAATTGGTGCTGATGATGTGTCACAATAGAAGCATGTGGATTTTCTTCTGCCCATAAATACAAATTATGGGAGTTTATGATTCCATTTTTGTAAAATCCAGCTTCGTCCGTAAACAGAATTGAACCGATGAAATTTGCATTGTTTCTGTACCTATCTAAAACCCAGTTTGAAAATTCTATCCTTCGCGGTAAGTCTACAGGAAGAAGTGCATGGAGTTTCTGTAGGTGATAAGGATGCAATTGTTGCCCTTTAAGGATTCTAAGAACCGTAGATTTTGGGCAATTAAACTGGGCAGCCAATTTCCAGACACTTTTTGAAGGATCTGTTTCTACGGCATTCTCAGCAATCTCACCGTGATTGATTTGATTTCCACAATTGTGTTTGGCTTTGGCAAACTTTCCTAAAATTATTTACAGCATTTTAATTCTACATATTATCTACTCAAAAAGTACGCTAATGCAAGTAACAAATAGTCATTTTTACCAGTCTCTCTTAAACGCTGATCCACTCTTTCAAAAGTAATCCTATCAGGAACTCTTCAATTTGGAAATTGTTTCTCATAAAGCCTTTTCGATTCTAAGGCATTACATGATGCAAGTCCGTACAATAAATGCATATCGGCATATTCAGCAAACATAAATTCCATTAGGGCAATTAAAATAAATTCGTGAAATAAAAAAAAATAAGGAAAATATCACAAGTTTCGACACACTCTATCCTTCACTGATACACTCAGATAGGTACTGTAATTCTTATTTAAATTGGTAAATGTCAAACAAACAACCATAGCAACAAAAAATAAAGGGAAAAACAAATATAAATAAAAGTGGCATTTTTTAGATGGGCACAGAAGCAATGCAAAAATATTTTTTTCTCGAAGACAGTTTATTTTATCGATATCAACCAAGAGTGCCTTTTTTTAGTTTAAGGTGCAAACTATCTAAAAATATTATTTTTGTCTTTATCGTAGTGTAAAAAAATTGACATTACATCTAGTCCATCCCTGACAAACCAAATAAGCCAAATTGTTTTCATGGGTCAATTCTTAAGGATTCTTATCTGTTATCCATTGTATTAAAAAATTGTTAAATTACACAAACATTAACAAAAATTATTAAAAAAAAAATTGATTTTTCAGGGGCATCCTTTAGGGGCCCTCTAGGGAAAATTTTTTTAGGAACTTGTCATGCTATTTTAACGTCCCCTGTATAAATCCGAGAGATTCTGGGACACCCTGTATAAGGTTAATAATAGGGTTGTTGACTATAAAAACAAACCATATACAAATTGTTGTTGATACTAAGATGTTATATAAAAGAACCTGCCTAAATAGTAAAATTTTAAATATATGACAAATTAGTGGTAGAAATCATTTATGAATTTTTGCGTTATTTAAAAACTAGTCTGACGTCATAAGGGGCAATTGAACAAGAAGCTAGTAGCGATCCTATTGCATAATTTTGAAGAAGAAAATATGTCAAACCAGAGTTCTCTGATCAAACCCTGTCGCCCTGTTTCCTGTTTTTTAAACAAAAGTGACACTAGAGACAACAGTCAATCAATTAAGAGTATTTGTGACAGTTATTATTAATTTCCTGATTGTAATGGATACAACAGAATTTAGGTGGTGTTTTGTTCCATATTCCACATTCAACATGGCCAATTGCATTATCTCCATAAGACTCCTGAACTGCACTATAATTTTCCATAATAAATATATTATTTATTATATTATTTTTTATTTTATTTATATTATAAATAACACAATAAAATCATTCATTAAATATGTCGATCCTTACCTGACTACTTTTATACCCCTGATTTCGCCAATATTAAAATGGTTGTCTCTTTTTAAAAATTCAATTCATGATCATAAAAATATCAATTTTCGGTAAAATTTGCGAAGTAGATTTCACAAATCCCATTTCACATATTCTGCTTTAATTCTAAGGGAAGATATTAAATGATTATTACTAAATAATAATTTTACTTAATAAAGGAATTCAAAGATTAAGGAAAATAACTCGTAGACTTGAAAATATTTTATGCAACAGTGGTACTGACGGACTGACACTACGATGACAGTGTTGACCAATTTTTTTCCTTTATGCAATCATTTACACATAATTTCACTACAAGGTGCCCCTTATGACGTCACAACCGTTTTGAAATATAAAAAAAAATCAGTTTTAAATAATTATTTTAAAACTGTCCTGACGCATTTCTCAATCTCTAATTGTGCATACACACTAGTTAATACGTGTAGAATTATATTATCTATTTTTTGAAATTTGGTCAACAACCCTATTAAAGAATAAATATATCTGAAACATCACGTTCCATATGCTCTGTGAATAACCTCTCGCATTTGTTGACACCAAGGTTGACACATTTGACACAGATAATTCTAGATAATTACTGAACTCGATTGTCCAAAATTTTTCTATTTGAGAGTGCAATGAATTCTAGTCTTAACACGGTTTATCTGAATAGAATCTGAAATTATCTTTCCAAGTTTTGACTTTTGAACTTGACTTTGGTCTAATATAGATCTGTCCCACGCATAATTCCCAAAAGATCCTTGCATTTAATATCTAATTTGAGAGTTATTAAAATTTGGACCAGCCAATGTTTCCTAGAATCTCAAAATTTATGTGTTCAAATGAGGACGATGATATGTGTTATTTGGTTAATAATTAAAAATGAAAACTCTTTCTGATACGCAATATGCAATGATTTTATAAGCGTTTTGGTATTTCTAACGATATTGTTTGGAACTTGTTCAATTGCCAAAGGTAAATTAATTTTATAATTTGACAATATACAGTATTAATTTTGCAAATAAATTTTTAGTTATAAAGATAGACTCTTAGCTGTTATTTAATAAGGCTCTAGACTGGATATAATTCCTGTCCTTGTTACAGTGGACCAGGGTCGATAATTTTTGAAACCAAAAAAAATTATAGTAGGATGAAGCCCATTGGAAAAGGAAGAGAATATAACAGAAATGAAAAGAAAAATAATTTACGGGTGATCTGAGGTCGGGAAGGGGGTGAGTTATTAAGAGTAAAAAACGGTTTATCTTGATTTCTGGAAAAACTACAAGTCTTATGGAAAAAAGTTAAATGACAAAGTTGTTTGCATTTCCTGAGAAACCTTACCATAGTAATGTATATATTTTTTTACAACATCAGAAAGTAGAGATTTCAACGAAGAAAAAATTTTTCTCATAAATTTTGAGGTTATGTGAAAAAAGTGTAAGTACAAAAGTTGTAGATCTTTTTATTACCTACAACTTTGCCATTTAACTTTTTTCCATAAGACTTGTAGTTTTTCCGGAAATCAAGATAAACCGTTTTTTACTCTTAAAAACTCGCCCCCTTCCCGACCTCAGATCACCCGTAAATTATTTTTCTTTTCATTTCTGTTATATTCTCTTTCTTTTCCAATGGGCTTCATCCTACTATAATTTTTTTTCACTTTTTACTATTTTTGAAGGCTTAAGCACTGGTCTACAGACATCAATTCAAGCATCAATCAATGCAATGCCTAACAAAACATATTCTCCCGAATATTGTTTTGTACTAATGACTATGTCTGGAGTCGTGTGCACTTAAACAAAATGACTATTTTCAAGTTATGTAAGAATTATTTACAACTTTGCTATCACAATTGTTTATGTGTAGAAGGATATTGTGTTTTTTATGATAAATGCAACAGGATTTAGATCTGTAATTTGAGTTTATAATGTACGGGGCCCAAATAATTTGTACATAATTTTAATTTCTTTATTTCTTCCAATTGTAATTTAACTGCAATATCAAAAATTACATTGAGGTTTTGAGTAGAAAGTAAAATTAGACGTTTAATTATTTTTAGAATTATTCCTGTTATATTTATTTAATTTACTACTCGAGTTAGTAGAACATTCTAATGTTTCGAATATATTACTTACACTTGTTCATTAAAAATTATATGTTGCTTAACCGCTCATTTGGGCTCATTAAATTTTGGCAGGTATGCTTCCCAATTTCTTTAAGTGGTTTAGGCCATTAAAAATTTTCTCAATTCATGCAAAGATTCTTTGACTAATGGAGAATTATATTTTCAACAGATCAAATACTACCTTGTAATTATTATCTGAAATTTCAATCGATTCGATAATCTGTTTAGCCTCTCACCTTAAGACATCTTTTAAATAGTGAAAAGATTGAACATCATCTAAATGTGAATTATTACTAATAAGGGCATTGAAAATATCACAAAAATGTGACTAATCACTATAATCACCCGAAAATGTGGCATAGGTAATTTTACATTGCTCTTTTCAACTATGGCCTGGGCAAGAGTGTGTTTAAAATATACCTTGTTCGTAAATCAGTGATGCCACCATTCTGCTGGAAATTAACATAAATGGATGGTGGAAATTGGTAACAACAAAAATATGCTGAATTTAATACTGTTACATCACAGTTTTTTTTTAATTTTTGAGTGCCTTTTTTAAGTACAATGTTAATACTAAAAGTCTACAATCATCTTAAAATATTTTATTCCTCAATAAAAAATGCAAATCAGTATAGCAATTTGTACCACCATTCAACAATCAATTGCGTCGTGCTGCTCTTAATTAGAGCTCCAAATTAATATAAGTAGTAAATATTTTATTACCATGTCCATGAGTTTATACAGGAATTCAGACAAGATCAACACACAAAATTAATTTAATTATTTGTATATTACCTACTCTTATAAATTCTTTTCTTTTTTATTTTGCTCTCAACTCAATCTACAACTCGTCCACCAACCTTCGACCAAATTCATCACGTTTATTCTGTGATGATCTGACTGATCATCGGGTTGATCAAATGATGAATTTAAAAACACATGTAATCTTCACCACAAATATTTTTGGTGGATACTTTATAGTTTATAAAAAATGTTACTTTCGAAACAATTAATTACATAAAAATGAGTACCTACCTCTTGCAAACGATCCAAAGCTCTAATATGATCCAAAGTGTCAATACTGGGACTTAAACCACCATGCAAACAGAAGATTTGACTATCAACAAGGGCAGTTAAGGGCAAGTAATCAAATAAATCTGTAAAAAATTTCCACACATTTGCATTTCCATATTTTCTTAAACATTCATCATAAAATCCATAGACTTGTGTAATTTGCCTTGACTCATGATTACCCCTTAAAATTGTTATTCTTTCCTTATATCGTACTTTTAATGCTACTAAAAGGGTTACTGTTTCCACGGAATAATATCCACGATCAACGTAGTCACCCATAAAGAGATAATTAGTATCTGGGCTACGTCCACCTATCCTAAATAATTCCATTAAGTCGTGGAATTGTCCGTGAACATCTCCACATACTGTTACAGGGCATTTCACTTCTTGTACATTTGATTCTTTAGACAGTATTTCTTTAGCCTGAAATATAATTTAAATAAAAAATTAATAGCTTTTTAAAAATTTTGTTTCTATTTACTACGAACGAACTAAAAATAAAAAACATATTACCTTATCACAAAGAGTTTTAACTTGATTTTCTGTTAGTTGTTTGCAGTCATTTAACTGTTCTATCCACTGATCGAGTTCCTTACAAGAAGCCTTATCATCCATGGCTAGAGTTTTTATCTTTACCAAAAAATAAATATGTTAATCACAAATTCATACATTAAACAAAATAGTGCCCAATTAGTTTTTACACATACAAGCGTTAATAATGAATGTTTTTTAATTATTTCATCCGACCACAACACAACACGTCAAAATGGCGGCGCTCCAAATTTTTAATGAATCAGGCAAACTGCGCACGCCCATATAACGCGGTAAATACGATTTTTTAATAACCTTTCTAAAAATACCATTATGTATTTAAAAAATTACCTTTTCATCCTTATTAATTTCATCGCAAGAATTATTTGTTGGTTTAGAAAGAGCTAATTTGCTGATTTTCTGAATATTTGACGTCTTCATTTTAGTTTAAATGATATTTAATGAAATTTTGTTGACATTTCCTAGATTAATTTATTTTACATTTGATAGCCACCCTTGATAAAACATAAATTGCAACCACTGGAACCAGCGTTTCCACTTCGATTTCAATTAATTTATCTTATGATACCTCGATCTATGTTAATGATCAAAGATGACACTAATTAGTTAGTACTGTTTAATTTTTGTCACATCTCAAATTGAGAATTATTGAGATGAAATTAACTAAGATTTCATAAGTTCAAATACAGAGAGCTGAAATATTATATATCCCTCTTACAAATTCCTACAGAAAAATCTATAGAGTTAAGGACTTTAGTTAGCATATTCATATTTATTAATTATTATAGTTACTTTAGCTTATAAAATCAATGATTGTATCGTAGCTTATAAAATCAATGATCACACACTGGTTTAATGATTTACTAGTGGCCCGTCCCGGCTTCGCACGGGAGGACATTTATTTTGGGATATAAAAAATATAGCCTATGTTACTCAGGGATAATGTAGCATTCTAATGGTGAAAGAATTATCGAAATCCGTCCAGTAGTTTTTGAGTTTATTCGTAACAAACATACATACATACAAAAATACAAATCTTTCCTCTTTATAATATTAGTATAGAAGATATAGATATAGATTAACTCGCGCCATTATTCCATGGCTAGAAATTGGCCTCAATGATTTGGGATCGAGGGGGATTATCCATCTTTATCCTGCCTCATCTCGTGTAGGCCTGGACAGCCTTCGTAGGTGGGCCCCATCCGTCGCGCGTCGTCTACCCCGACCGCAAATGCGGCCGGTGTAGGCGCTTTGTGGGTTTGTCCTGGCTGGGCCCCGCCGGCTAGGGCCCTTTCTTCTGGCGCTCTTCTTGCTTCGCCGGCTCGTCTGTGTAAACCCCGAACCCCGGGGGTAGTGTCATGTTTATGTGTGGTATGGTTGGGTAGGGTAGTGCGGCTATGCAGCCTGGGATGCGCTTTGCTAAGGTGGCCCTTAGGCTAGCGCGGGAGGGGAGGGGGGTATGG